AAGAGAAATGCTATCCTCATTCAAAGCATTGAGCAAGACACTCAATCTGTAGAGGCCAGCAGCCACATGAATCTTTAACCTGTGTATTTGAATATGTCTCTTAAGCGTGCACAATAAAAAAGATAAATTGTATGAATTCATGTGTTGCACTGATCAAATTGTCATTGATTTATATTAAGTTTGTCTTGTAGTCTGTCTTCTACGACCTGGAACTAATAATGCACTGTTTGAGAGTCTCCTGTATTGAGGTCAGGTTCACACATTTGTCCATCAGCTGTGAATGATGTCTGACGCAGAGACCTGACTGATAAAAGTGTGTGTAGAATCAATAACCATGTTAATGAGGGAATGAGCATATCAGTGTCTGTGTGCGTGCGTGCTTGTATGCATGCTTCTATGTATGGCTATGTGCAACATAATGTACCACTCACATCAGCACAAAACCAAGGTTTCACTCTATGTTGGTGATTGATGATAACAGTAATCTGGGTTAAATTGATGATTCATGACTGCTTTAAAGGTCTCTGATCAACAGTAATGCTGAAATAAAATAAAATTCCCTATTCATATATTATATAAAATAATGTTTGACACAATTGTTAAAGGTCCTTTTAATTTCCTCAGGTTTATAATCAGAAAAACACATCTTGATGCAACAGTATTTTATCCATTTTAGCACTAAATTTCAGGGGGAAAATATATTCTGAAAATAGCAAAAGAGCCTAAATAAACCAGCACAGGGACAATATAAGATTATATACTCTACACTGTAAGAACAACATCATAGAAAAACTTGTCTTGGCAGAAAGTTTCCAGTAACTTTCAATACCTGTTAAAATGCAATAAAGAAAATTACATGGTACATTGAGCCCTAATTTTTTACAGACTTTCTTAGAGTAGCTATATTTTGTAGATCAAAGCATTATACAGACTAAAAGTAGCCTAAGAAAGCCCTAAAGGAGTGGTTCCCAATCCTGGTCCTGGAGAACCCCCAACACTGCACATTTTAGATGTCTCCCTATTCAAACACACCTGATTCAACTCATTAGTGAAGACTCCAAGACCTCAAATGTGAGCGTCAGATAAGAGAGACACCAAAAACGTGCAGTGTTGGGGGTTCTCCAGGACCAGGATTGGGAACCACTGCCCTAAAGGAACATTTCTACCCGAAAAAGAGTTGATTCTACAAGATGCATCAGGATCCCAGTGTGATAGTGGCATAAACCATGTAATGCAAAAGAATAGTTTGTGCAGACAGGGACATTAGTCAGCTTTTATTTTCATTATTTTATATATGCATGTTATTTTTCTGTATTTTTGTAAAAGCACTATGAGAAAGAAATGAAACCAGTGCACTTCTCTTCTCTTCATCTTATGTAAGATAGAAAAGACAAGTCTGTCAATATCTTAATCTTGATGTCAGTGGACTTTTAAATAAGTATTCATGATTAAACAGGGTTGCTGTGTGCTCTCCTTTTCCAACTAAAAGACTGGTCTAAAGTCTTAATAGAGAAAATGATTTCTTCTCAGGGTTAGGATTGGGTTGAGCTTTGACATACTGTACAAGAAAGATGTGTAATGACATTATCGAACACAGACAGTTGCGCAACTACTGCAAGATAACTGTTATCTAATCAAATAGACCACAAATAAAAGCCCTTTTGGTGAGGGTTTGCATGAGTGACTTTGTCAGAGATTTTATTAAGGTATATATTGTTATTCATTATTATTAATATTGATGCTAATAATACAATAAAAAAATAATAACATTAATAAAATATTTTCTTTATTCAATTTATAATTGTAATCATTTGGGACTGTTGTATTGGTCTATTGTATCAGCTGTACCATGCTTGCATTGAGTAAAAACACAAAATGCACAGTATTTGTACAGAATGTACAGTGTATTGCCTCAGAAGGGATTTGAGGTTTGCAATACACAACTTTATCAACACTTACTCTGATTACAGGCAGTTTTCGATAAGGTTTTGAGCTTGAACAGTTCTGGGATGCCGTATATTGTGCAATAACGGCAGCACAGGCTCATATGCTGTATGTTAAACAGGCAAAGAATCATGTTTAATGTAATGTAAAAATGATTATAGTAAACTGAAATGGCAAACATCTAAAAAAAAAATCATGAAAACATATTTGAGTTTAATATAGTTTACACTAGTACAAGTAAACACTTAATTTTCATATTTATTCACAAACAAGTGTACATAATAAATATTACATATTCTTAAATACTCCTAGACTTTATGATAGCATGCATAAATTTTTAGGAGACACATTTGTTCATTTACATGCTGCATGGACTTTGATCAGGACATTTGAGTTGGATCCAACCTTCGTTCTTGCATTGATGAGCTTATCGTTTGTCTTAGGAGGCAAGTTGCTTACCTTTTCGAGTAGATAATGCTATAGATCTTCTTACTGAACAAAATGTTTCTGTGCTTTAAGTCCTCAATGATATTGTGTCCTGTCTGCAGTCAGAGTCTTTTAATTAAAGGAAATCTGAAACATTTCTGTTGTCTAGATACTAGATACATGAACTTTCAGTTACGGTATGACAATGGTGACTTATATAGTGAATTTTATTTTGCTAGATTTTAAAACTATTGCAATGATGCTTGAAACCATTCACTCTCAATGTAGATACTTTGGTTTAGTTCAGAACATTCAGTCAGCACAGCAGGGCCTTCTATGAGACCTCATAATGGGAGTGGGAATTGCTTAATATGGTGGATATGCTGTACAATCGATGCATGTACTTCATTCACATGCATGGCATGTCTAATACTTGTGACACCTAACACTATATCATGATTTAAGGAAGAATGTAGCTTTGTGCATTTAAACTGTGGAAGGTACACAGAAGACAACAGATGGTACGAATTTTTAAGAGCATTAATGTTGTTTATTAGTTTAAAACGTAACTCCAGCCTTATCCCATAATCCATTATATAAAGTTAATGGCAAACCTGATAAAAACTGACATGCATTTAGATTTGACTTCTTTTGAACAGCATTGTATATTTGACAAAATTTTAAAAAATCTTACTTTTCTTAATAGTTTCTACATAACATTATGTACCATTAATGCAGAGTTTCTAAAAAGCTAGATATGTTTGAGAGAGGAGACATTTACTTGCAGTCTGATTGGTGCTGATCTAATGGGTGGTTAATTTTATGCCAAATCAACAGACAAAAATCAATCATCTCAACCCCAACAACCAGCATGTATGTTTGTTTTGTAGTTAAACTTCGCATCCTAAAATGAAATCTTAAAGCTGGACTTTACAATGCAGAACATTGAGTGCTATGACTTTCATGCCACCACATGAAGATTTGGCCTATTAGTTTATTTATTTTTTTTCTCAATAAAATATTTCACAATTTTGTAATAGTTTAATTGGTATGTGTTATAAGATAAATTCAACTGATTATAGATTTTATATTGATTTGCTTCAAGTATTTAATGTGTCAGACAGACAGACAGATAGATAGACATAGATAGATAGATAGATAGATAGATAGATAGATAGATACATAGATAGATAGATAGATAGATTTTATGTGTATATGTTTGTTGTATTTCACTTTATGCAAACTGTTTTTCAGCAGAAAAGAAGTCTGGAGTCAAAATGACATGGAAATATCAGCACGCTTCCATGGAGTGACCATAAAGTCCATTGCCCCTGTGTGTCTGAGGTACATTTATACTGTCAACATTAGCTGTTTGTTTTTGAGCTCAGTGTCATCTCAAGTATCATGTTTAAACATGGGAGGTAGTTTATGGGTCTGGGGTCCATTCAGCTGAGAAATCTAAATGTATATAAAAACAAATATTATAAAAACATAAAAGAAGTTTTACTTGCGTAGACTCATAGCTGATTCATGCAATTACAATGTCTTGTTATTCCTTAACAAGAGCAAAGGTCATTTGTACAATCATAGATCAGAGATCATGAGTGTTTTTCAGGTTTGGAAAGATGGTTTGTTTTTAAAATAATACATAAATTAGATGAAAGTGTCTTTAGGTTAACAAGCCCTTATCGATGAAGTATGAATCATATTGCATTTCAAAAATCACATTTATTTTAGGAGAGGACATAAATTGCATATAGGCCTAGAGTTTGGATAACAACTGGGTTTGATCAGAATGTTGTGAAAAAAATTGACTGTTTTTACAGGCCTACAGGAATATACAGTAGGCTAATATTGAAATGTGACGAGCTGTGTACACTTTTGGCTACAAGAGAAATGACAAGACAACATCTGCTGCCTCCTGGTGGAGATGTCGAACATATTTCCATCAGAGTTTTCCCATCTCAATCAAACCTATGAGCGCTAGAATTTTGTCAAATATAAACATCATTTTGGAACCGTGAGAATGTTATTCAGATGGTCAATTTGAGATATTAAAACATGTAAGACATCAGAACTGAGTATTAAAATATAAATCCATATTTAATACAGGGTGATGTTATGTGGGGTAAATTGCGTCATTAGGTACCAGGTAGCAGTGATTGGATATTGATTAAAATAAATATAAATAACTAAAAAAACTAAAAAGTTGCCACAAACTTACCACAATAGTACTAGTCACAATAGAGACCACATAGCCTCATTATTTAATGATCCCTTACTGTAAATAGCCTATACTTACATTTGAGCTATTCGGCTTCCCATGTTTTAAATATGAAATTCTTGTGATCAAGAAGAGAGACAACCTTTATGTCAAGCGTTATGGAAATGGGGTGCAACAATACGCGCTTTCTTTTCTGCTAGCGAACTGTTCTTTTTACAGTATATTGCAATCTGCTCTACTTCGAAGTGTACGGACTCGTCCAAAGAGTAGCACAGTGTTTTGCTCTCACTAGATCGCTGTGTGTGCACAGAAATGATTAATTATTTGTCTTCAACCATATCGCAACTTCAAACATGAGTTTAGAATGTGAATGTTCTCAAATATGATACTGACATCCCTTTCTCAGATCCACGAGTCCCCCCTACAGTCTAGTGGTGGTCTCGTCCATTGTCAGCGGAGCAGAGCTGTGTGTGTGGTGTCAGGTCTCTCGCGCAATGATGAGGTTTCAAGTGCTCCTTTGAGATGTTGGGAGTCTGTAGAATATTCTGCAATTTGTAACTTTTTCGCTTCGCTTTTATCACAACAACATTCCAACTTTTAGTCTACAAGATCGACCGGTACGTGTAAACATACCTTATTTAGTTTTTTGTTTGTATATGTAAGCTTCTGTTAGTTTTTTCATGGAGCGAAAATGTTGAAAGTTTTGTGAGGACACTCCTTCTTCAGGACCCGACGGACCAAGACTACAGCTGACAAATTGGGGGACATATCAGCTCTGTCATTTTCTTAGAGGCAAGTTAATGTCTGTTTTAAGCCTCTAATATATATTTTTTCAACAACATATGCCGCTGTTTGAAACCCATCATTTGCATGATAGCGGTCCACGAGAATCAATACACAGCTCTTTATGGCACCTAAAAGAATGAAGTTTAGGCTAAATACTAGTTTCATGTCTCATTTTAGCAATCTGCGATGGTTTTGGCAATGGTGCGTGAGTTCATTTGTGTATTTCTAGGTTGGAGACATGTATTTTAATTAAATATTTTACTCATTTATTATTTTTTTAGTTTATGGCAAGGTCGCCATAAAGATCCATGAATGTAAGCAGGGGCTGTTTTGAATGCCCAGGAAAACTGACCTTATGATGTTAAATGACTATTTAATCCTTTGCATTAATTTGATACATTAAATCACTTGATTTCCTCTATTATCCACCGAAGAAATTGACTTATATGTGAATACATTAAGTTACTTACTATATATAATATAACTGAGTGTATAATTATTGTTACACTGCTTGTGATAGTTCCCATATATTAATGTTTGCAGTCCAGCTTTTCAATGGTAGTCTGTAGATGGTCTGATAACAATAGGTTATTCTTCCAATTCACTTGCCATTTGTATTCTTAATTTCCCCTGTATTATGATCACCTTGTGGGTCACAGCATGATCTTCACAGCAGGCTATTTAATCCTTTGCATTAATTTGATACATTAAATCACTTGATTTCCTCTATTATCCACCGAAGAAATGGACTTATATGTGAATACATTAAGTTACTTACTATATATAATATAACTGAGTGTATAATTATTGTTACACTGCTTGTGATAGTTCCCATATATTAATGTTTGCAGTCCAGCTGTTCAATGGTAGTCTGTAGATGGTCTGATAACAATAGGTTATTCTTCCAATTCACTTGCCATTTGTATTCTTAATTTCCCCTGTATTATGATCACCTTGTGGGTCACAGCATGATCTTCACAGCAGGAGTAGGAGGTCGATTTCCCACTTTTCCAATCAAGTCCCTCCATGATGCCTTGCAATCATCTCAGTGGCATACCAGCCAGCCTGCCGTCAGTGTCAGAACAATTCGGAACCGCTGTCAACATTTCCATTTCCATCTCATCTAGTTCTAGTCTAAATCTGGTAAATACCAGCGAAACGTTTTGGGGAAATTCATCCTGAATGGGAAATGTATTGGATGACTTCTCGACATAATTACATTTAGCGACAAGCTATTTCGGGGGAAAATACCCTGAATTCTCAAACGAGGGTACAAAGCGGATTGTTTGTTTTCCTGTGATTTTACGGTCCACCAGAGCAGCAGAAAAACTGGGTTTTCTGTTCTACTGATCTTTTGAAACGTGGCTGTCAGGGTGCATTTTTGTTAGGCCACATTGGGGAATAGAAGGCTTAATGAGCCTCACACCAACACACACAGTTAATTGAGTTTATGTTTTATGCATGATGGGTCAAAGATGAATACTGTACAACTACATGCTGAATTGCACTGATGTGTACAAAGTGTGTCCCTCACTTTCCAGGTAACGTCTCTCTGGCTATTTGATCTGTGCACATGGCAACCTGGCTCATATTTTTGTTTAATTTGAATGGAGTGTAATGAAAGCTGTTATCCGGAAATAAATTAAGGGCAATAGTTGCACTGGTCTGTGAAAAAATACATGTCACGTGAGTGTGTGGAATCTGGTGGCGAGACACAACATTCACGTTTGCCAGAGTGGCAGCCTTGTAATGAGGGCTACTCTAATGAGAGGAAGGAGGGTAACAAAGACAAGTTTGTGCAACCAAGGCTACTGGAGTGAAACTGGAAACTAGGTCTTGTGTGGAAATCATAGAGGAATGTTTAGTCATTAGATGCAGTATAAAAGCCTCTGACTTATTGTGACAGAATATTCCCTTTAGAGGCACGGCAGGCAAGGGTAAAATATTTGGTGAGAGGAAAGTGCAACAGGGGTCAGTGTAATAGAAACTGGCATTAAGGATAAACAGAGAAAATATGTTAAACTAACAAATGCAAATGAAATAACATTGAAATACTCACAAGCTTGGCTGAACTGTATATATTGGCTTTTTTCCATACATTGATTGACATTTCCAAACCTATTTTCACCCTTAAAGTGATAGTTCACCCAAAAATGAAATTGCTGTCATGATTTCACTCTCCCTCTCTCAGGGTGTTCCAAACCTGTAAAACTTTCCTTCCTCCGTGGAAAAAGTGTACTGAAGAATGTACCAGCAATTTCTTTCCATGCTGTTCAAATGAATGGTAACTAGAGCTTTCAAGCTTTAAAAAGAAAAATGAAGCCTAATAAAAGTATCATAAAAGTGGTCCATATGACTAATGCTTTTTCTGAAGCCTCCATGCAATAGCTTTGGGAGAAACAGCTTCAGTTTACTGTAAGTGATGATATCATGTCGAAATGACGGTGCCTGATTTGTGAATATATTTTAATATTTATTTGGTTCACAAAATTTTGAACCAATCACTGTGATCCAGTTCTCACATTAAACTCAACTTGACTGCTTGTTTATGTTAAAACTGTCAATGAACAGCAAGTGAAAAGATTAGGTTTCAGTCTATTTGTGAGCAAATTATTCTTGTGAGTTGGATCTTTTCAATAAATCAGTTTTATTGGTTCACTAGACCAATTAGAATGAATTAGTTTGTACAGTTCTCAAGTTCTACTCAGTTGACTAGCTCTCTTTGTTAAGACTATCAGTGAATAACGAGCGAAAGGTTTAAATGTCAGTCTATTCATGAACAAAATATTCTTTTGAGTTGGATTTTTTTTCATTGAATCTGTTTATTTGGTTCATAAAACGAATCTGAACGAATCAGTCTGATCCAGTTTTTGAGTACGGCTAAACTGACTGGTCCTCTATGTTAAGACTATTAGTGAAAAACAAATGAGATAACATTTTTGTCTATTCCTCACACAAAGCTATCATAGGATTTCAGAAGATTTCCATATACTGTAAACTATTTTTATGATACTTTAAGGCTCCAGGTCCCATTCTTTGTAATTTAATGAAAAATGACCAGTAAATGCTTAAATTTCTCCTTTTGTGTTGCATAAAAGTCATACAGGTTTAAAATGACTGACATGAAAATATTTGAATGATGTCAGAATGTAAAATTTTTGGCTGATCTATCCCTTTAAGAAACATGAGGTCATTCTTTGGGGTGTTGACATAAGAAGCTATATGGTTTTCCCAGTTTTCTTTAGGGCGTGTGAGTGCCACTTGTATCGTTTATAGAAAGACGCCAGTTGTGAAACCACCTGTAAAGCATTATGGTTTGTGACTTGAGTGGCAGAGGATGCTTCTGAACCATGAGGTACTGGAGCATAAAGTAATACACCATCTGCTCTCCACCCACAATTCATTTGAGGAGATGTGTCTCACACTTCGCTTTTCTGATTCACTTTTTTTGCAAGGGGCTTTTCAAGCATTTGGAAAATTAGGGCTGTTTTCGACTCCTCACTCCTCTCATCATGTCTTTCATTTTGGTTCCTCTTCGCAGAGAATGAATATGTGGGCCTGATTCTCAGCTCTATATACAGTGGGTACGGAAAGTATTCAGACCCCCTTAAATTTCTGTGATGTTGTTATTTCTGCTGGATCAGGGCCTGTGGGGACCCCACTTTTTTCATTTTTTTCCCCATTTGACAGCAGCATGAGCTTACATTTTTTTCCTTCAGATGGAAAGTTCTGGGTTTCTTGTGGCTTGGTGAGTGTCTGAGGGAAAAGAGGGAGGGAGCAGCAAGCTACGCCCATGTTTATGTCTGTCTGCCTGCGTGCTGCCAGGCCAGTAGCTTCACCCATGTGACTCGAGCCAAGGGAGGAGCCACTCTTATGTTGGCCCTGGCAAACTAAGCAAACGGAGCAAAACCATTTTCTGAAGAGGTGGACATGTCTAGAGAATCAGGTCTAAATGCCTAGAAAATGTATTTCTCTTAGAACTTACTGAGATTGTTCCTCCTTAAGAAAGTGTAGCTTTAACTGAAATAAATTGCAGAAATAAATAGATATTTATGGTAGCGTTGAAAATGAAAGATTTTTAGGCCATGGTAACTCAGTAAGCCATGACGTCTTTATTTAGGAAAAAAAATCTGTCGCAGTGTTGCTTTGTGGATGCAGCACGAGATAGATGGCAGTAGGTATTTTAGTCACAGGAACACCAATTTATATCTATAATGAGCGGAGCCATGATCTCACTTGCCACCCTGCAGTCTTGAAGCCAGGAGCTTGTGGGCTAAAGTAGGACATCCTGATTCACTGGAAGGAAAGATGCTTGCATGAAGATATATTTTTCCAAACAGAAATATGCACAGTCTGGTCATAGTAATGGCCTTCTGTTTACACAGGTCTGATAGTGGCCAATTATATTTTTCAAAACTAATGCTAAACTACTGGTATTTTTAATAACTAAGTGCAGAATTCTTAAAAATATACTCTTTGTGTTCATGTTGGATATGGTTTTGAAAATATAAATTATAAAATGTCATGTAATGTAACCCTCAAGTCAAATGTTTAAATATAAAAAATTTTGATGTTATTTTATTTATTTACAAATATCATTAGTTATACTTTTTCAGGGTTGGACCACATGACATTTATGACCTGAACTATGACTTTGTTCTGCAAGGGTCCTTGCTATGATATCATTTCCTGTTTTGTTTTTGTTTTTTGGATGTTTCTCCATGTTGGTTGAACCACATGGCTTTGTTGGTCATGACTTGATGGTGACATTACTTTTTTCTAATATTAATAAGCAGTGGTGTTTTTTTTAAAGATATACAAAATTGTCAAACTACCTAAAAAGCTTTTCTTTTTATGAATTTCTTGCCCTTATCTCAGGACAGTTGTGTCATCCTGAGCTATTTTTTTTACTTTATGTCCCCTCAAATATATCAGAATTAATTTTAATACAGACATTAAAGATCGTAGAAGAAATTTATTCAACTCATTGTTTGAATGAGTTGCATTTTTTATGTATTTTTGGAAAATAATATTAGATCCGGAGGTTACACTTTATTTTAAGGTGTCCTTATTACATTGTAATTATACATTTAAGTACTGAGTAATATTAATTAACTACATGTACTTACTATATAGTTACGGTTAGGGTTTGGCTTAGGGTTACTTGCATATAATTATACATCATTTATTGTTATTATAATAGTAAACAAGGACACCTTAAAATAAAGTTTTACTGATCCGAACAAAAAAACAAACAAAACAACAGGCATTAAGTCATTGAGCTAAACTTTAAACAAGTCAGATTCAGAAAGGAATATGAACAGATAAACTGAAGAATGGAGGAAAAGGCTGTAGTAGTAAAAAGAGTGATAATATGGAAGCGAGTGCATATGGTCACGTAGCTTACAGAACCTATCGTTAAATTTCCCATCCCTGCCACCTCACCGTTTATATGGTCTTTATATGATTTGTTTAAATAGAATGAGCAGTGGCTCACACTCTGCCCCCTCTTAATGCCGCGAGCACAGGCTCATGTACAGTAAGCCACACCAACCGTTCCAAATTACCCACACACATGCAAAAAACACATCTCTTCATCATCTCCCTGGTAACCCACGCCGACTTGATTGTTGCTAAGGGGGTCTGGTGACAGTTATGCCCTCATATTAGCCTCCCTCAATGCTGCTCAACACCCTCCCCCCTTTACCCCACTGTGAAGGAGTCAATAAATTCTCACCTTAACAAGGCATTAAATGGTTTCCATGGATACCAGGATCCACTCCCTGGGTTTGGAAGGGTAACACATTTTCCATTATTCCAAAATCTACATCTGGCAGAGGAAATGTGGATCTCTTTATTCTGGTTTTTGTTGAAAGTATAAAAAAGGCTAATTTGGGGTTCAAAATTGCTAAGAAGCTACTTTTTTCTTTGTGTTTGTGCTGACAGGGAGCAGCAAGGATCTGGGAACCGTCTGTGAGAGAGTCGTCATGGGTAAACAGAACAGCAAGTTGCGACCCGAGGTTCTCAATGACCTGCGGGAGAACACGGAGTTCACGGACCACGAGCTGCAGGAGTGGTACCGTGGCTTCCTGAAGGACTGCCCGTCTGGCCATCTCACGGTAGAGGAATTCAAGAAGATCTACGCCAATTTCTTCCCCTACGGCGATGCTTCGAAGTTCGCAGAGCACGTCTTCCGCACCTTTGACACCAACGGCGACGCCACCATCGACTTCCGGGAGTTCATTATCGCCCTGAGCGTGACCTCGCGCGGAGGCCTGGAGCAGAAGCTCCGCTGGGCCTTCAGCATGTACGATCTGGACGGCAACGGATACATCAGCCGAGCTGAAATGCTGGAGATCGTACAGGTGAGGTACTTTTTAGTGCTCGTCCTCCTTTTGCTTTCATTTGCATTTCTGTATTTTACTCAGCGAATCATTGTTTTCAGAGCAGCTTGTTCCACATCAATATTGGCTCAGTCTAATGTTTGGTGATACAGACCTCCTGAATAAACAGATCTCCTCAATCAAGTGTTCCACAGGCCATATGGTCTTGCCACAAATGGGGGCCAAACACAAAGGCTTTGTTCGCTACTTCAAAGGGTCTGTTGACTCTCCATGTTAATAACGTTGATGGCTCTTCTACACCTGCGACCGAGGACACGTTATAAAACAATATCTGAAAGTGACATTAAATGTGTCTGGCAGAGAAACGAGCTGGTGATCATTTGCATTGATTACGCTGATAGGAAGTGTTGATTGAAGCGTTATGGAACTTTTGACTGGCCGTTGTAGCATTATAAAGACAGTCTTATCAAACTTGTTGCTATTGAAAACCGAAGCCTTTGCATGTGACAGCAAACTACCATATGCTTTGACACACAATTACATTCATCTTCACAGGCGATTTATAAAATGGTGTCATCTGTGATGAAGATGCCTGAGGACGAGTCGACACCAGAGAAACGCACAGATAAGATATTCCGACAGATGGATACGGACAACGATGGTACGCCTCTCGAGATCCATCTCCCACTCACTGTTCATATTTATATAGACTCTTAAGTTGAAGCACACAAAATGTCATAGAAACTGCACTTGGGAAAGAAAAAAAAGAAAAGAATATATTTATATATATATATATATATATATATACATTTATATAGGTTGAAGCACACAAAATGTCATAGAAACTGCACTTGGGAAAGAAAAAAAAGAAAAGAATATATTTATATATTTATATAT